GCTCTTCAGAAGTAGCTAGGGTTTCAGCTGTAGTTAAGCAGGAAGGGGGAGAAAGCCTACTGAAGATTAGGCTCTATTCTTGCTCTATGCAGCCATAACTCTGGAAAAACCTGTTCTTCACTCTGCCTTTCAGAACTAATGTGTGTAATTTATTTGGGGGCATGTCATAGGCGAGACTCAAGGCACTCTGAATGGAAGTTCTTTTCGACACAGCATGTCATTAAAATGTGGAAATCATTGCCACCAGATATTGTGGGAGCTGATGGTTTAGCCAGATTCAAAAAGGGACTGGACAAATCTTCGGAGGCCATGAGCATGGCAGTCAGGGATATGGCCTCTGAATTAGAACTTCCTAGACCTTAAATGCTGGAGGCAGGAAATGAGAGAGGAACAGTGGGGGAAAAAAACCTGGTCATCCCCAATTTACTTTCCCTTTCAGCATCCATTCTCTACCACTGTGAGACACAGGATATTGGATAAGGCGGACCTATGTTCTGACCCAGAAAATGGCAATTCTTATGTGCTTATGTGAGAAAATACCATACTTCATTTTAACAGATTGGGAGAAGCACAGAATCAGTGACTCATCTCTGTTCCCTCACAGTCTTCCACACTTCTATAGTATCAAACCTTTCAAGTTTGCCATTTGCTTCCTGGCTATCGTTACAGTTCTTCTTACCGGACTGAAAAAAGCATAAGACCTTCTTCCAAGAAACATAATTACTAGTGCCCACAAAATTTTCAAAATTGTAAAAAGTGAATTTCACAACAATCCATTCTTCAAGTTTATTCTTTGAGGCCCAAAAGCAGCAATTCTTAAGCAGGATGCCATGAGGGTGCTGCAGAGACACTGCAACATGAGCACTGTTAGGTGTGCAAACACCTACACATGATTCACCAGATAAACCCAGAGAGATCAAATAGGAATCCATAGTGTCCAAAACATTCTGACCTCTTGATGTCTCTTTGAGATCTTTGCAATGGAAGAACTCCTCTATTATTTTTCTGTAGTCAAAAAATAAATGAAATTTATTTTTTAAATGGGATGCCACTAAATTCAGAAAAATTATGGAGGGGTGCCTTAAGTCTAAAACCACTGAGAACCACAGCCCTTAAAACAAGATGCAGGGCAATCATACAATCAAATCTTACAAACAAAAAGCAAACTTAGACAAATCATTCAGTCACAAGAACGCCTCTTCAAAATGTAGCCTCTGCTGTTTCACAGTTGAAGTTGTTCTTCATGCAACAAGCTTAATTTTCTTTAAAAGACAAGCTATATTTAAACAAAGACAAGTCAAGCTCCATTCAAATGTTGTGTTTTTTTCTCATTCAAGTATTTTGATTGTTTTTAACCTGTTATCCATTGTATTGAACAAGTCCCCACAGTTAGCATCTTTTTTCTTTTAATCTAAATGTGACCATTTCTGTATTAAAGAAATCTTAAATCTTAAAAGTGCCACCTGTCACAACCCAAAGGGTGTGATTTTTGTTTGTGTGTGCTTCGGCACTGCTAAATTGTTCCCGCTAAATTGCAGCTTCTTTGCACGGTGGAGTTTTCTGCTGCAAAAGAGACCCCTGGTGCAAGGGAGATTTCCCCGCCAATTTGAAGCTTTCTTTGCAGGTTGCATTTCTTTGTTGCAGCACAGAAATGCTCGTTGCAAAGAGTCCCCGCCATTTGTATGCTAATTCGAGCCCCATTATTGGCCAGTTCTAAATTATTCACACGTGGCGGCTAGTGATTGGCTGGCTAGCCGTATAAAAAGCTTGAGTGGTTTCCGCCCAAGTTGGAGGACTCCACGAACACCGGGAGGAGGAGACTTCACGCTGTGTGAAGATCTCTAAGCGCTGCAGATCCCTACGGACCCAACACATTTCAAGCAGGCAACAGAGGTCTGATCAGCCTCTAGCCTCTCCCCGTCACCAATAGATTCCTAGACGTATCCCTTCCTGCGTGCAAAAGAACCGGACCCACGAAGCCTAGCAAACTTCGTGTGAGTTTATTCAGAGCTCTTTCGGACGAGTACTTTCTTCGGTTGACACGACGGGCTCGCATGTTTAGAGCCTTCAGCCGGATTGGGCTAGAGTTCACGAGTTTAGAACTCTTGTCCGCCTCTCTTCTTTCCTGTCTGTAACCGCAACTCAAGCAAGTTTTCCAGCCTACACCACGACCATCTTTGGTGTAAGTAAACAATCTTTAAAACTACCGCTAAGCGTTTGTGCCTAATTCCAGCTCGTTGCCCTCCCTCTCCGATCCAGCATGCCCGGGCTGCTGGCCACAGCCCGCGTGCAGCATGAAAAAGGGCTCGGGTCACTCCCGGCCCGCACACCACCTACTGCAATACTCAGCTCATTGTCACAACAGATGAGCCCTTGTTACATGGAAGTTCTGCTATCACTGTCCTCCTTATACAGTAGTTACTGCCATTCATTACTGTAGCCTCTCTCTGGGAGATGCTCAGTAAAGCATCCCAGTCAGTGAAACAAAATAGTTCTTTCTTGGGATAAAACAAGTCCCCCAACCCCCTGCAAAACCCTCTGAACATTTTTTACAAATTTTCCCTGCAACATTCAAGGCAGCATACTATAGAGGGAAGATACATTTTCTCAAAACTTGCCTTCATTTGTCTCCTCCTCAGGATTTTCTTTCTTGGTCTCATCTAGAGATATTTTCTGGCTCTGCATCTCTTTTTCAAGGCCTTCTAGTCTCTGCAGATCTGCCTCAAAGCTTGTATTCAGATCACTGTTGTCCTTTAAGAAATCTTTTACCATCTGTATCCTATGCAAATTCTATGACAGCAGCAAAAGACACAAAAAACATCTTGGTGGAACCAATTACTTGATATTTGCTTTCTAGCCTCTAAGCTCCACATGTCCTAATTTTTAAAAAAAATTTGCTTATTTAGACTTACAACAGGAAATGGAGAAAGACACTTAAGTATTAAGTGTTAATTTATTTTTTTAAAAGCTAGTGAGTGGGAGTGTAGCTTCAGTCACAAAAAAGATAGAGGAAAACATCTAAAACAAGTCAAGTTCAGGGCAGATTGCTTAATAGTGCTCAGCATGGAAAAGTTATAACTCAACTGTAACAGGTCAGTTTTAAGGATTTTTCCTTTGGGAGGTCCTATTAAAACCACTTCACCAGGTAGTTTTGGGAAAGTGACTAGAAATTTTACAATGGTACATACCCAATACATGATGGAAGGTCTGGAAATGGTTGCCCAGTCAGATGAAGAAGTCAGAAGGACTACAATGCTGAGCTGTTCTGCAGTGGCTTTTATCTTTCTCATCTTAACATTATGACTGAGCGTTCAAAATCTCAGTCTTAATGTTGTGCTTATGCCTTTTTTTTTTTTTTTTTTTTTTTTTTTTTTTTTTTTTTTTTTAAAGCAAGCACCTTGCTTTCAAACTGGTCAAAAGAAACATTTTGGCATGTAGCATATAGGAAAAAAAAGTGCATTTAAAAGTTAGAAAGTGCTCTCTATGGGGAAAATAGGTTCTCAGATGACAGCCTGCACCAGGAATGTGCAAAATGAAATTTTGACAGTTAAGCATTTGGTTCTGGAGAAGGAGGAGGGTGGTCATACAAAGTAGTCAAGATGATGAGAGTCAGAAGATTCCTAGTACAGAAAAATGAATTTGAAAAAAGCCACTATTTAAAAGTTGTATCTAAAGAGATAATCTTAAATCTCCATCAAAATTAGAGTAAAATATACAGCATGAAAGATGGAAATGATCAAAAGGGCAAATGCCTTTCTGTGTTCCACTCCCTGCAAATATCTGCCAACCATGTCTTGTATGCTGCTGGGGAGTAAGTCATATTCAGTTCAGGTGAGAAGTACTTACGTTACGTGTATTAGCAAAGAATATTTACTGAACAGAGGAAGAAACACTGCAACTGCTGTATTCCTGCAGAGATTTATGTTGCTATCTAGCTTACATTTTCTTATAACTGAAACAGGAATGAGGAAGAATTTAAAAGTTTCCAGATATAATCAGAGTAAGTAATTTTTTATCCTCCCTCACCTTTGCCACTAACAAAACCTTACCATATTAAGAAAATGCAAAAAACAGGACAATGAAAATAAGCCAGTCAACTTTGCCTCCTTGTTATTAACTAGTAAGAGGTGGTAGTGTTTAGACTTGCAAACATGGAAGGGAGATGTTCCAATTTTAAATAAGCATTCTTAATTGGATTTGGGAATTTTAAAACATGGTTTTAAACGAAACCTTTTAAAAATGGGATTTCCTCATAGCGTCCACTTAAGTTATATAAGTAGAAATGGGTTTTAATATAATTAAATATTTCCTCTAAAATTGTGAGAGAATCTTTTTTGTTGTTGTTTTGTTTTTTGTTTTTTGTCTTTTTACACAGTGCATCTTTAGAAGTTCTGGTAACTACAGTCCTTGAAGGCTATAGAACAACAAAATTAAGAGAATAATTTTAGACCAAAGGATATGAGAATTGATGGGGTGGGGGACTTTTTAAAGTGTTGCTTAATAGCTCTGTTCTACTCTTGATACAAGCACGTAATACCACTAAAGCTGAAAGGAGTCACATAGATTACACAAGCAAATGCATATCACAGATTTTCCTAATACATTTAAATCTTAGTTTAGGGTGATTCAGTGGATACTGTATGCTAGGGATAGACCACCTGTGATGCGTGCCACACCTGGCATGGGCAGCCTTTGTGTGTGTGACGTGGTGGATCAGGGAGAGGGCAGGCAGCACAGTAACAGATGGGACAAGAAGCAGAATGCAGAGCAGCAGACTGAGAAAAGGACAGGCATCAGAGTGGCACCCAGGAAGGGTGCAGAGCTAATCTGTGGCATAACTGCCACAAAAGGTTGCACTCCAGTGTTGTACACATTACATGTTTACACTTTCAAACATCTCAATGTTACCATTGGAGAGTGGGTAGCTGGGGTATGAGCGTAATTGGAAATGCACATCCAACCAACAGTTCCACTCTGTACCCTTAGGTAAAACTGTCTAGCTATTATAGTAAGCTGGTTGCCATAGGAGGGTTTGCAGATTTATTACAAGAAAACCTGAAATCTCCCTTCTTTTAGCTAAGCCTTGCTCCAGTAATTTTTTTTTTTTTTACATTAAGCATGGGCACTCTGATCACTGGCAGACGGAACTGCTTGTCAGTCATATTTGTTGCAGAAAGCTGCTACTTTAAGCCTGGCTTTTGTTTTTTAGTTTTAAAAATACCTCTGCAGACAGCATCTCCTGCTCCTCTGCCAGAAGATAGATCTCTTCAAGTCTCTGCCTTATTAATTCCATCTCTATTTCATGTATTTGACTCTCAGTCAGGTAAACTTCTGTTTCTTCTTCCAGTCCATCTGGCTGATCTCCTTCCCCTGGTACACAGACAGCCCAATCAGATGACAAAAGCTGTTTGATTTGTAAAGGACAACAAAATAAATGGTTAGAAACCCCAACAGATTCTTACATATGGGCCTATAGATTCACAGAAGTTTACAGCTGGAAGGGACCTCATGAGATCATTGGGTCCAGCCCCCCCTGCTCTGGGCAGGAAAGACTGCTGGGGTCAAATAACCTTGCTTTGGGCAAGATGACAGGTTCTGTACTCTATGTATCACATCTAGAAGGTAAAGGGGAGTGGAAATGTTGACAAGTTTCTACTTGTTCTACTATTAAGCATTGTAGATTCTTTTCAAGTATTGAAGAGATTAGCCAGGCCTTTAATAAGTTTACATGGCTGCCACACAATGTGATGAGACAGGAATAGAAGTAAAGGGTGTTTATGCCAGGCAACATCACCTTGTGTACCCAGATGCCAAGAGGCTTAAGCAGCCATTAATAGGGTGGTTTTAAATTAATATGCTAAACTATGTGGAAAATAACTATAATTTACTGAACTAAGATTATGATATGACTAACCAGGGTTTCAGTGCCTGGAGAAGGGAAAATTATTATGATATTTTGAGTTTAAGGCATTGTCAATTTTTTAAACTAATTATCAAGACTGTGGTGGTGGTGTTTTTTTAAAGAAGCTTTTAAGCCCGTTTTGGTGCCTCTTCCAGAGTTTGTTTAAAGCAACTGACCTTTCTTTCAAGCTCCCCTTTAAGACCTACTTGTAAAAACTCTGCAAGCAAAATTAATCATAAAAATGTGATAACTTCTGGCACCTGGCTGGCTGTACCCCTAAGTGTCCAGGAGATGCAGCCCCTGTCTGATCGTGACTGAGGCTACAGACTAACAATGGCTCTGAACTGTTTAATATTACAATACAGTTTAGTTTTGTAAAAGCCTTCTTAATATACACAGTTGCCAAACTCTTTACACTGGAGTCAGTTTCAAAGTAAAGACAAAAGGGAAGACAGTTAAGGGGAGATGTAAAATGAAGAATAGGCCAAGGATTTTCAGATTCCAGTGGGGAAAGATAATGGGAAGATTGTCTCTGGGACCCCTTCCCTTTCCATTTTTCTTTTCGAGACACCCCTGTGGCAACCGCACTGATTTCTTTCATACAGAAGAATAATGCTTGCAGAGGCACTTTATATTTTTGTCTTTAGAAGGATGCCTACATTGTGCTTTTCAGAAAGTGCTAATCACATTCTTCTCTCCCTCTGTTCTGGCTCTCTTAGCAGGGTATGAAGAGAGCCAGAACCATGTCTTCAGCTGCCTCTGTGCACGCCATTGTTTAGGATCATCTAAGATAGATCATTTGTGTGTGTTAGAACAAAGGAGCTGAAATCCTGAAGTAACCAGTTCATTTATATAAGAGATCTATACTGGTTACTAATTATAAATGATGTGCATGTGTCTATTACATATACATGTACACACATGTTCACTGTACGGTAGCACAGGGAATATAGGCAATCATGGATTGAACTTAAAGGGTAAGATGTGAAAACATTATCTTGAGAAGAAAAGAAAAAGAAATGTGCCCTTAATACATTTAGGAAAGAAGTTTTCTAAACATCAGAGGAGAAAGGTTCTGGAGCAGCATTCCAGTGGAGTGGGAGGAAGTGAACAACTTAGGTAGCTTCAAGATGGAACCTAATCGGTTTATGAATGTGATTACATAATGTGGATGTCTACCATAGCAGGGGATTGGACCTTATGACGTAAGAGGTCACTACCAGTCCCATGTTTCTAGGAAAAGGCTACAAATCAAAAGGGTTTCTTTTACCTTTTCTATCTTTGTTCCAGCTGCTGCAACCTCTGGAACATTCTCAAATTCATTTAGTAAGTTCTGAATCTTCTTTCCAAACTCTTTCAACCACAAAGAAGAAACTTTCATTTCTGAAGAATGCATCAACTCATTACGGCATGTAATCACCTCAAGAGGAGAATGAATGAGAAGCAAAAAGAGCAATATCACATTAGGGTCACCATCAGGAGTAGGTCACAAAAGTAACAATATTTTGCACCATATATTAGATGTACAGCACTCAGTTAAGAAAAAGAAGACACAGAAATTTTACCTCTTTGATTTTCTTTTTATTGATACTACTGAAATGGTCACAGAAATTAAAAAGGTTTAGAAGTGCAACTGCATCACATTCCTCTGGTCCAGAAATATTTGTTTGTCCACGAGGCATATAGGCCTACCAAACAGAAATGTGTCAAATTTTACTTTAAAAAATACACCATTACCTGATTTCCTAATCTCAGGGTAGGTGCTGTTTAACTCCCGAAGTCATATTACTTAAAGTAAACCGAACAAAACTATACATAATACTTGTATACTTATTTAACACCTGTATAAATCTTCCCTAACTTTCAGAAATCCACTAGTTCTGTTTACTAAATAATGACGTGTCAAGCAAACAGTTGTTTTTGCCACAATCCTGAAATCAGGGGCAGGCCTGTGGGCTGGATCTGGCCAGCAGTGAACTCCATTTCCCAGCAGCTCCTGCCCACATGGTTGGGGCTGGTCTTCATGGAGATCCCAGCCACAGCTGCGCTGGGATAGCGCAAGGCTGGGGTTGCCATGGAGACCAGCCCCAGCCATGCTGGCAAGGTGCATGGCAGGGGGCTGCTGTGGAGCCACTGGGATCTTGCGGTGGGAGCAGTTCAGTCCAGGGCCAGGGCAGAGCTGCATTGTACAGCCTGTACGCTCCAGGCAGCGGATTGCGGCACTTCGCAGGAAGTGCCATGAGTTACAGTGATCCCCCAGACCGAACAGAGGTTCACTGTTGGCTCCCAGGGGTTGGGGGATCAAGCTGCAGTTTAGAGTGGCTGCGAGTCTGAAGCTGCTCTCCACAAGCCCCACCCCTTCCTCCTTCCAATCCCACCACTGTCTTCAGTATGGGAAGGGGAAAAGGAAGCGGAGGGAGTTTGTTCTGGGGGGTTGCCCAGCTGGGGCTGGGGAGCGGGGCAAATGGATTGGAGGTGGGGGGCCTCCAATCCACCCCGCTCCCTGCCCTCCAGCACCAGCAGGGCAACCCCCAGAATGAGCTCCCTCCATTTCCTTCCCCTTCCCCATTCAGAAAACAGTGCTGGGAGCAAGGCTGAGCTGACACAAGTTAATGAAAGTGCTCCATTTTGGAGCATCTTCACCTGAACCTTCATGTAATCAGAGTTCAGATTGTCACAGGATTGGGTCTTTTTAAAGTGCTCTGCAGCCATGTGCTTCTGTAAGGGCACAGCTATAGAGCGCATTCAGTAGCCAATCACAGGACAAAATGTCACTTGTGTCAGCACCCTCAGTGGTTACTGTGTTAGTGAGAAGCAGCACGAGCTTTTTTCATGCTGCCGAGAGAAGAAGTGGCAGTAGCAACTGGGTCCTAGTGCCTAACGTTAACTTGAACTGAGTCATTTTGGCCCACAGCCTGAAAACGTTGTAGACAGCTGATGGTTATTTTACTGCTCAGTATACCAACTACTGCTATATGTTACAGCACATATATTTTGTAACATTTTGTAAATGTTACAAAACACTATTCCTATTAGATTTTTGTTGCATTTTTTTAGCCCAACCTAACACATTTTGCTTCATATTTGCCTAGATTTAAACTTAGTCAACCTATATTCTAATGTAATATGAAGGAAAAACAAATTCAATGAACCATTACACCCAAAAGAGTGTCAAGTTGGACACAGAATCCATTGATTAGCACAAGTTAGCCTTTGAAATCTGCAACTATTTATTTCTGTCAGTTTTTAGCAAGAAAAAAAAACAAAATCTCATGACAGGCTGTTCTCCAGGGATGAAATCCTGAACCAGTTTCACCATTGTGTCTGGTGGCACCAAGATTTTACCCCAGGTCCAAAACCTGCCCTAACATACACTTCCATGCAAGTCCACTGAGTTTGACATAGGGATAAACTGATGACACAAACTGACCACAAATTAATTTGCCTCTGGTACTACTGTTGTTAAACTTTACTATTGTTAAACACCTTTGCAAGCTCCCACGAATTAGAAGGCCAAAGCCAAGGTTTGCAGTTTCCCCAATGAACATCTCCATGCCTGTTGGTGTGATGATTCAAAATCTCCTGTTTCCATTGTGCACACAATGAACAGGCAGGCTGAAACTACAAAGAAATAAAAAAAAAAAAAACAGGTCAGTGGAGGAGATCCTGCTATTTTTATCATGTAAATTAGATATTAAAAATCACCCTGGGTCATTATGACACTTCAGCAAAGGCTAGCAGGAGGCCTCCAGGGATGTTCACTCAGATTTTGATTTCACTGCCTGCACAGAAACTCATATGCAGTGTCCTAAATTGCTACAAAGAGATGCAGATGAAAATGTTAAGTATGAGGCATACAGTAGTTAGGACAGTAGCCTCTCACCTCTAGGGCACTGGTACATATCACGATTCAGCTGGATATATTTCTAAAGGTTTCCCATCAGGCTATGGCTAAACATCTCTGAGAAGTTTACCCAACCCACTCTACAGTGAAAAAAGGATGAGTTAGGATTAGAATTTGAAGTTACATATTTTTTGTTCACAGTGTACATAACTAACGGATAAACATAAATGTCTGAACAAGGCTAAATCCATAGCAGCACCTGCTTATATTGCTCAGCTCATCATGCAATAATCCTTTGCTTTGGTGAGCACTAATTTACTCACAGAATTTTCTATTTTGCAGGCTGTCCCAACCAGTAAAGACTGCTCCAATTTGACTTTTTTTTTTTTTTTACTGTTCCTTTACAAACACACACATCCTCCACCCCCAACACCATTCAGTTACATGCATTAAATGGTTTTCAAACTCGGTCTTGAAGAACCCTGGGGTTCCCCGATTGCGAATCCCCTGATGACCTAAGAGACTGGGGGTAACGGCAGAGCAGGCAGGGAGGTGGTGTGCCACCACTGTTGCCTGGCTCCATGCCATTTCACAGTATAAGGTAGGGCTTCTGCGGCAGAAGGAGCAATATGAAAGGCTTCTGAGACTTCAGGAAGTTTGAAAACCACTGCATTAGACCAAAATTTCTGCCTGTGTTGCTTAAAATCTCTCTATACATCTGTAAACTGCCTTCAAACCAATACACACACGAAAAAGTTTCCATCAGTGCCACCACTGAATGGTTATCTAGTACTGAGAGTATCTTCAGTGCGTGCGCACATGTGTTTTTGAGGTACATCATCACGGAGAATCAGTAAAAGGTTGTAAAATGTTAGTTCTCATTAAGATGCTTCCAGCATCCACTACCAGTAATTCTCATTGGCCATGAGTTATGCTCCCATTGCTGAGATTAGGTTTACCCCTTAACAAGGAAGTTGAATTTCTGTTTATGTATGGAAAAACAGTGAACTCCCACAAGATTACAGCACTTTCTTTTTTGTCTAGAATAATGTTTCATAATTTTACAATTCATTGTTTTCTATTAAATATAGGTCTTTTAAGAAATTTAGCACTATTTCAGCCATGGTTTGGCCCTGCTTGTCATAACAGTGGATGAATGAAGACACTAATCATAATCAACATCAGATTATAATCAAGGCATTTCGGAGTGTGACCTCAGTGACTTTCAAGGCATTTTATTTAATTTTTTTACAATGTCACTAACAAGCAGTAAAAGAGGTTTGAGTGCCCTAAATCTGTAGCTTCCTGCTTTTATGTTCAAGTTTAATCTTAAATCTGAATTTCCTAGTTTTATAATGCTCGTTTTAGGACAATTAGAACATCCACAACTGGTATCTATGCAGTTTTCTCATTTCTGTGTCACTATTACGACACAACACAACGAAGAGAACCCAGGTAGATGCAATCTATGTTCTCAATCCAGTGCTCAGGGAGCTTTGGTCTGCCCCACAGGCTGACATAAGCACTGATGTTTCCTTACAACAGCACTTAAGGAGTCAAGCAGGGGTTTCTTTGCTCCACACTAGCCACTTTACTAAATTCTTCACTTTCATGAGCACCTACCACTTACACTTACTGCGTATCTTTCTTTCCCTCGCATGGGACTGCAACTTCTTTCATGAATCAACTTACATAATAATAATAATCATCATCATCAATGAATGCAGTGTGCACTACATAAAGACACCGACTCCTCAATTTACATCTGCACTGACTGCCTCTCTTGCATGCATACCAGCCCCTGGCTTGTTTACTTGTCATTCCATCCAAGAAGAGCACACCCCAACTGCTGACACTTCCTCAGCCTGATGAAGGGTTTTTGAACCCGAAAGTTTGCTTAAAAATTGTTCCCCAACTCTTTAAGTTGGTCTAATAAAAGATATCAGATTCACCCAAAGAACCCTGTCTCACTACATAAAGAGACATTTGAGAACAAATACTGGGCTCCCATGTCACAGATCTAAGTGCCTCCTAGCCGAGGGGTGGGTGTCAAAGATAGCAGCCCACGGAGCCGTCCCGTGTGGGCCTAGCTCTGCCCGCGAGCCGACTCGCCCCCGCGCTGCTCCCCGCACCACGGCCCGGCGCACGGGCAGGACTGCTGCGCTACACGTGGCATCCCAACCCCCGGTCCAACATCCCATCCTGAACTGCTCTGCTGGACTAATACAGTGTCCCCCCTCCCCCCGCTTTTGTCAGGTGTGCCACAAATCAGCCCGCGCCCTCACAGAGCGCTGCTCTGGCCCCTGCCCCACCTGCTGCTCTTTCAGCTCCCCACCCCATCCGCCGCTCTGCTTCCCGCCTGATCTATTGCTC